CAAAACACTCAAAATACCAAACTTTTACTATTCACTAAATTAGTGAGCCTATTCATAAGAACTATAAATAGAGAAAAAAGAGGCTTCAGAACTGAAAGTTATAGAGGCAGGAAAATGCTGTCATCGATGTTGTGCTATAATGGAGGACAATGGTGAGACGCATCACCACAATGGAGAATTCACTGGGCAGCATGAAACTTGTCCTAACTCCCCTCTCCACCCCACCGCCATAACATACCAAAAAGCACAATATATTCCAACCAAGTATACTGCTGTAGAAACAGCAGAGTCCACTAGGAGCTACAACATGCTTCTTAGAAGTAGCTGAAGGATTTCTTCTAATCAGATATAAATTTATTCAAATAGACAGGGCAGAGGCTTTCTTTCCTTAATTTCTTGTACGTAACATAAAGCATTCGTAATTCTAATTTCTCAGTTCCACTACTGACTTTGCCACTGAATTATCTGGGAGGGTCTTTCTTGTGCCTATTTAGAGTGGGTTTACTAGATAACTGCCATGAACAAATTTAATCACCGAGGATGTAATCATTAAATCTGAAAATTTTGTTTAATTATTCTTTGCATGTTTTCACATCTTAAAGATGTTAATAAATATTTGTTAGACAGTGTCTACAATATTTCAAGATAAAAATGGAAACAGTTGGAATATTAAATCTATGAATTCCAGATGTTTGGAAATAACTGGATATGTCACTGAAATTTTCAGTTTTCATCCAGATGTTTGGTGTTATGTCTATTTGTTCTTTCAAAAGGCAGACATTTATGGTATTACATAAATATGGGTTAGAGCATTATATAGGTAGAAATTTCTAAAAACCTATTTTCCTCTGGATAACAGTAAATTGTGTGATAGTACAGTTTTATATTTAATTATTGTTTTTGTGATATATTTTGAAACCTAAGAAAACAGGTATAAATTTATAAATAGGATAGTAGAGGATAGGAAAGGCAGCAGAATACAACAGACACTAGTATGGCAACATGTAAATCAGTGGATGTGTAACTGATATGATTCTGCAATCCGTATACGGGGTAAAAATGGGAGTTCATAACCCACTTGAATCAAAGTGTGAAATATGATATGTCAAGAACTATGTAATGTTTTGAACAACCAACAATAAAAAATTTAAAAAAAAGATTAAAAAAATAAAATAGGTAAACAAAAGAAAGCTGTAATATAAATGACTAAATCAGTTAAATAAAGATCTAAATCAATAGTTCACCAATGGCAATAATAATACTCCTTTACAATATTTTTGTGAGAGACAAAAATATTTTTTCTGAATTCTCTCATCATTCAAGCAAATTAACAACAGAAAAAATATTTTGGCTGCCTTTTTCTGTAAAAAAGAGTCAAGATAGGATTAAATATTTTTGTACTTAATTAAAGAGTAGTTTGATCACACAGGCATTGTAAACACTAAATAGTTTGTTGACTACAGGAGAAACGAGACATAATAAAAAAATGTTCTGGAAATTAAAGTCTGGAATTTTACACTTTAAGTATTAGCTATCATGACAATAAGCTATTATACATTTTAGTTATTTTTTGTTATGAAGATTTTGTTGAAAAATTATGTGCCCACAGAGCTATAATAGAATATAAGGTTTGGTTTATACTGCCATGATTTCATGAAAATAAAATAACATTTCTTATTACTCAGATTTGTGGATAGAGGCTTTAATTTAACCATCCTATATGACAAAACACAATTTATATTGGATCTTACATTAGATTTATGCTTGAAAAAAATAAATGTTATTAAAAATACCCTTATGTGTCTTGTAAGTTCTAGAATAGTTGTATAACAGAAGATACAATTGACTTGAAGCACAAACAAAACAATCATAGTTCACAAAATTCATGTATCATGATCAAAGATTTCAATTTTGAGTTTCAATTATATATAAAATACTTAGTTGTATATGAAATATTTGATAATAATTTCCAAGCACCTAGTGTTCTACCCTGGGTACTAGGGTAGAGAAATTCAAGCAAATTAATAACAGATTAATAACATCCTGTGAGCTCAGAAGGCTCACAGGATGCCAAGAACTTCAACAGCATGCGATTCCCAGAGAAAAGGAATCCCTTTCTATAATTATGTGGCAACAGCAGTGTGGGGCACGGAGAGGAGTGGTAGAGCTCTCTGCCATGTCGTGGAGCCCCGAGAGAATCTCCTAGCAAGATGTGCCAGTGACACCAATTACAACAGCAGCAGTTCAAGAATATTCTGTAAAATCTGGAGCTACCAATTATACATCTCAGTATATACCTAATGCCTCCTATACAACCAGCTAAGTACCTGTTATGAAGTTTCCCTTTTCTTAACAGTATGAATTCCTTAAGTGCAGGACTATGTTTTATTGATTTATGCACTCCTTCTCTGACCCCTCTCATCTTTGGTTTAACTTAGTGCCAGTTATTGGCTATTCAGTAATGCTTTTAAATGTATGAATGAATAAATAATGACTAACTCATCCAAAAGATATGAGATTATTTTCACTCTACACAATTTTATAAATTGAGATTGTTGTATGAAATGTAAATTTTAATAGAAAGCATTAGAATACTTAATTTTAAAAAAATGAAATGTAAAGTACCTGGAAATTATGCTTTTGTCCATTTTAAAATCAAGAACAAAAAAAACCTACCCTTTTTAAAAAAATTTCAGCCAATGAAGCAGGATTCATTAAGTGATACTAAATTAAAGTATAACATTTTTATCTATAAATCTAATGTGATATTATTATAAAGTCTATTTATAAATCTACTGTGCTATTATTCTAGAAGCAATATTGATTTATATTTTGGAGTACTTTTATTGCTAATACTACATTGCTAATATGGAAATGTGGGGTTTTTTTTCAAAAAAAGAAAATTTCCTTGCCTATTTTAGTTCATCTCATTATTTTATAATATATTGGATAATAAATCTGGGTGCCATGACTTCTAGAGATCTTCACCATTCCTTCCATTTCTGGAAGATGAATCTATTATGTGATTGCTGCTGTTTTTGTCCCATTACTAACTTCATAGAGTTCCAATATCCAATATATAATCTCACCCCTAAAGAAAATAGTATAAGGAATTAGAATTAAGATGTATCATCAAATGCTTTCACCTGCACATATATATCCATATATATATATATATATATATATTAACATATTTACATGTGCATATCTATGTGTGTATAAATGTATATATAAACATCTCTCTCTCTGTATATGTGTATGTGTATATATATATATATATATATATATATATATATATATATATATAATGGAAAACCATGAAATCTCTCAGTCTATTTTTGTTTTTAAAGGTACAATTCCACATGGTAGACAGAAAACACAAAGTAGACCAAGGTATTTCTAAAATCAATACCACACTCTTTCTCATTTAAACTTGCACATTTTATACTGGTATTACAGAATTACTATACTCTTTATCCTAGAAAAGGAAATAAGTGCAGAATTTAAGAGATCTATTCCTCTTATTCTGCAAAGATTATTTTGACTGACTGTTCAACTTTTGGTGACAGTGATGATGATGGCAATGACTTATGTGTTTCTTCCATCTGGAATTGTTGATGGAGAAAATCTCCCTACTGAGAATCTTGAAGGGCTCATTATTCCAGTATTACAAATATGAAAATTGAGGCAGAGAGAAGTATAATTTTCTCAAATTCACACAAAAACTCAGAAGTGAAGCCAAAAGTAGGACCCAGCTCATGTGGAACAGATCTACGGCAACATGCAATGTCAAGCTTGCAAAGGTAATTAAACTGAGTAGTATAATTACCTAAATTATAGCACAGGAAAATTCAGTGTCATATTTACAAACCTAATTATATCAAGTATGAGAATTACCTGAATGATAGTAATCATATGGATGGAGTTCACATACTTTATATGCTTTATTTAAAAAAAAAAAAAACTAAATATTTTAAAAATAGCAGTTTGAAATATAGCAGGACCCAAAGTGGGGAAAAAGCCCCAGAATCTGCAACAAAACAAGTCCCTAGGTTAGATCTTGCTAAGACATTTTCCATCTGCATAATCTTAGGCAACTCATTTAACCTTTGTCTCAACTTCCTCATCTGTAAAATAAAAATAATGCTATATTATATAGAAAAGTAGTAGAAATAATGCAACTATCAGTACAGGTATGCCACCTATATCCAAGTAGGGATAAATAAAAGGCAACTACTGAGACTTTTGGTTAGGGGTAGTAATCATATGTGAACACTCACCAACCAGTTGTTTTAGTTTTTGCGGTACTAAGGATTGAACTCAGGACCTTGCACATATCAGGCAAGTGAGTTACCACTGAGGTATACCATCAAGTCCTTCCATCAGTTAGCTTTTAATCAATATGTCTTACTGTATTTTCTTATCCATTGTTGTCAAATGGATTCATATATGTATGGGAAATACATAATGCATTCTTTCAATTATGGCCCCAAATGAGACCAACAAAAGTCCAGATTGAGAAATGTCTCAGTTCAATATTTCATCCAAATAGCACCTCTAATGGCATAGAAAGGCCTTTCAGACAGCTTCTTTGTAGTTCCCCAAGCATGTTTTAAACTGACTTAGGAATTGACACATAGATGACAAGGCAAAGAAGTACTTGGGAAGGTGGGTAAACTTTGACTAGACAAATATAGAAATTCTTTAGAGAATCAATCTTGTTGGATGAGCTTTCATGATAGAGTTCTTTCTCATCTGTTTATATCTTTATTACGTATATTGAAAAATATGAAGCACAGTTGTTGGCACATTCTGAGAGCTTGAGAAATATTACTGTGGCCTTGCAACATGATTAAATTCAATGTTGAATCATTTTTATCACTACTGTTTTATGGAGGTCTGGTATAGACCTTTGAAGCACTGTTTTTTCATCAATGCCAAAAAAAGAGATCAACGTGTCATTTTAACTCTCTTTATGTTGTTTCCTTTCCTGCTTCAAGGTGAAAGTGTGGTTCCAGAACAGGAGAATGAAGTGGAAGAGGGTAAAAGGAGGACAACAAGGAGCTGCAGCTCGAGAAAAGGAACTGGTGAACGTGAAAAAAGGAACACTTCTCCCGTCAGAGCTTTCAGGAATTGGTGCGGCAACCCTCCAGCAGACAGGGGACTCGCTAGCAAATGAAGACAGTCATGATAGTGATCACAGCTCAGAGCACGCACACTTATGATCCACATAGAGAGGACCAGCTCCATTCTCAGGAAAGAAATGTTGTGATGGCAAGCCTTACCCAAACATCGTTTACACAGAGAGGACTATGGCAGTGGTGTTTAATATTAAGTTCAGGCATTGCAAGTTTGTTTCATGATTTATAGAGAGTTTACACTAAGGGCCACTTATTGAGGATGCTTCCACAGTGAAGATGAAAAAGGTGGACTTGCTTTGAATATTGCATATATGTTTGGTCGTCATATGTATGACAGTGAGCAGGTGTGGGTTTGCTTTTGCTTGCACTGAAAAGTAAATTGCTATCAAGAACAAACTATGAGACGTTTTTATTCAAGATGCCTTCAGAGTGAAGATCTGAAGATGAACTTGCTTTGAACATTCCAAATGTACAAGGTCATTTTTGTGACAGTGGGCAGGTATTTGCTTTTGCTTGCACTGATAATTAAATTGCTATCAAGAAAAATCATGAAGTATTTTATCCTGAACAGCCACAGTGCCTGAAATCACCAAGTGGATAAAACATGTATTTTAACTCTGTATATATTACCCTTAAGTCATTTTCCTGTCTTCACTAATTTTAGCAATGCATTCATATTAGCTGCTGAAAATAGCCACTCACATTGAAAACCAGAACCAGCTTCTTGTATGTTTTATACATTTCGTCATTCAGAGACTATCAGTATATGCTTACTTGTGTTCAAGTAGAAAAAAATATGGTAGAGTCTGATAGGACATATTCCTGTACCACAGACAAAACAAATCTTATGTTGCATCTACTATCAACTGCTGCTAATACATTATTTTAAAACTTGTCTTGCTCCTCAACTCTTCCTATCTTATAGCTTGAAAAAATTTTAGGATCATAGGCAAATCAGTTACCTTGCAGAGGGAGCTTTGTATGGCAGACATTGTCTGATTTTATTTCTATACCATTTTAGTTGTTATTAATATGATTTAATGAATAAGGAAAAGTTTTCTTCTTGATTGGAAGTGGTGTTAAACATGATGAAAAACAAAATTCTGAATGTCTTCAAATTTAATTCCATAAAATATATTATTTTTTCATATGTGATGTATTCAAGCAGAACAACTTTTGTATTTTGTAAAAAAAAAAAAAGTGTTTAATAAATGATCCTTTGTAAATAATGTTGGCCTCCCTACTGTGATTTCTTAAATATTTAGAAATTTTCATTTCAATGTCTAAGAAAGACTCAAATTCATCTCTTAAGTAAACTCACATGATCAAAATTTATGTCACTTACATTTTTCATTTCTGAATATTTTTATTATGATGGGGAAAATTAATTTTGGATAATCAAAAAACATCTAAGAATAGGCATATTTAATAAGAGATTTCCCTAATTTAAGGAAATAAAATTATTTATGTGATTTTGAATTGAAAAGTAGAAGAAAAAGTGAAAATCAGCACAATGAAATAAATAGTCATATTTTAATAGCTTAATATAATAAATTTGATGTAATCTAATAGTTGTTTTTATTATTTTTTTATATATTTTTCCAGTGTTGGGGGTCAAATGCAAAACCTCATACACGCTAGGGAAGTGATCTATTAGTAAGCTACTGTCCCAGTCTGCCTGTAGTTGTTTTAAAGCCAGAATATTTAGTATTTGATATAAAATATAAACCAAATAATCTAAGGAGAATTCTCTGTCCTAATGGATATTACTGATACAAGTAAAGGATTATTAACACATTTTGTGTCATGCATGATTGCACAAGCATTGGATGCCAAAGTTCTACTTAGAACTTGATTACATTGTTTTTCATTTATTACATGTTTTAGCTAGAAGTACTTGGAAATATTGCCAATGTTACCTCCCTCCTCAATTACTTACAGATAGGAATGGAGGGAAATGATCAGTAAACATTTTAAAAACTTCATTGTTGGGCTGGGATTGTGGCTCAGTGGTAGAGCGCTCGCCTAGTGGGGCGGGACCCGGGTTCGATCCTCAGCACCACATAAAAAAAAAGGCATTGTGTTGTGTCCATCTACACCTAAAAAAAAAAAAAAAGACTTTAAAACAAAACTTCATTGTTTAGTTGATTCTATTTGTTTAGAATGATTAAACAGGTAAAAATAATTTATTTTAACTTAGTTGAAAATGATATAGAGTAATCAAGAAATAAACAATCATATAATTTGTATCACACATTCCCTTTGTGATATAAATTTTATCTCATTAGTTAGGAATATTTCTAAATTAACATTGTGGAGAGACCATTCAAACTGGCAAAAACTGTACTTTTCTATCAATCACTTAAATGAATGCAAAGTATATTTGTACTGATGACATCTATTTGGGTGGACCAACATTCTTATAGTGAAAGAGTATTTAAATTCAAAACATCTTGACAAATTGGAGAAATGGGAAGATATAAATCAAATTGAATTTAATAGGAACAAAGTAGAGGATAATTTATTTGAGCAGGAAAATAATTTCCAGAAATAATAGGAAAGAACTGCTTAATAGTAGCTAAAGAGAGAGTTAATGTTTACAGTGAAATAGAAAGATATTACAAATTATAATTTAGTATGATAAAGTAAGGAAAAGTGATTTTGAATGGATATGACATTTAGGAAATGTGAGGCATATGTAGCATACATCATACCTTCATTAGAAAATTTTAAGCCATTTTAAAATTAAATTTGACTTGGAGAACAGGAAGAGGTTTAAAGGTCACATGCCCCCACCAAAAGGATTAAAATGATCTACCATGTTAGATGCTGGACACATTAACAAGTAAATAAGCAGAGTATTATTAATAAGAACTTACCTTTTTGCAGTATTTTTGTATTCTCCTATCTTTAAATAATACGTAGGTTAGCTAGATATTCCTCATTATCTGTCTAGAATTAAAATTCCATGAAGAAAATTAAGATATTTTCATATACTATCAATCTATTTTTAGTTTTCTCTGGAAGTACCAGTGAACTAAAAAAATAAAAAATAAAATATAGCTGGGTTTGTTTTTTAATCTTCACTAGAATCCTGGCACGTGACTGTGATTGTATCTAATTAGATAAATGCTTCTTTCACATAATTCTTAGTTCTTGTTACTCTGTACGAACTCATAAAAATGTGAGAGGAGCTTTCCCCCAAAATAATATGGAATCATAGGATGATGTTTTTCAGCAGGACTCAGAGGGATGAACCTTAGAGTTTCCTCACAAGCTGATCCACATATTATTTTAAGTCTTTGTTGACATGACCTCAATTATTCTTTACTTCCCACACTTGCCTAGAGCTGTCTGCCTACATTTTCTTTTTCAGAGATCATATATAAGAGTTGAGTATGGAACTCATTTTTTTAAAATGAGTTAAATGAGTTTAAGATAATCCTAATGACAGTTTTAATAACTTGGTGACTTACTTTGCATGGAAAAAAAAAACCTGGGAATTGTTTTCTTTAGTTTAGTAAGGTAAGATTAGAGAGCAGATAGAAAAGTGAAGTAAAGTATAAAAATTAATGCTCTACACTTTCAGTGCCGCTAGTTCACAAAACATTTAAAAATTATTGTCATATGTATGATGGTAAATGTAATTTTATTCTTAGAGATGATTATAGGACCTATAGAACTAAAGCAAAATCTGTTACAAGGCAGTTGAGTGTCATAGGTCAGTAATTTGAAAGTTGTTTTGTTCTTATTTTTTTTTTTTTATTGGCAATTGAACCCAAAGGCACTTAACCACTGAGCCACAACCTCAAACCTTTTATTTATTTTAATTTTGAGACAAGTTTCCCCTAAGTTGCTTACAGTCTTGCTAAGTTGCTGAGGCTGGCCTTGAACTTGTGATTCTCTTGCCTCAGCCTCCTGAGTCACTGAGATTATGGGCATGCACCACCATGACTGGTAGGCTGATGATGTTTAAAAACAAACTAGTTTTAAATATTTTAAAATACAATGCTGTTGAAATAATTCAGGTATTTTTTAAGGTGAGAAGTACTTGGAGTACAGTGTAATGTTTAAAATATCAAATAGTACTTAAATGGCATAATTCTTCTTTGAATCAATTGAGAAATAATTGTGTATTTCTCATCAGTTGTCTTCATTGAATTATTTCAGTAAAAAGAGAGAATCTAAAAAAAAAATTGGAGCTACAGATTGCTTAGTCATTGAATTGCTATTCTAAATACTGAAAATCTTCAGGATTGGCCAGTAAATATCATTATAAAATTTTTAATTTTGCTTTTGTTTTGTCCACTTTTATATTTTTTGGCTAAAGCTGACCATAATAACTAAATAACATTCTCATGTATTTCTCAGCATTTCTGCTTTTAGCTATTAGAGAATGATACCAGGGCCGGTGGACAGAGAAATAAAAATGGCACCAGAAAAAAAATGATTGCTACTCCAAATTTCATAGCCTATAACAGTAGTTTGCTTAAGATTCAGACATCATTTCTTCTTCATCTACTAATTCTGTATTATCATGTATTTTTATGGTTCTCTTATCTTGGCATTTAAATGCATTTATTTAAAATGCATTTGAGAGCAAAATCTCTTTTTCTTTTTTATCTTATTTTCCCCTGAATAAGATTTTATTTAAATCCAGCTTCAAACCACACTCAAGAATTTCAGAAAAAAATTTGATTACTTCATAGTGTACTTATTAAGCTCAGTCACCTTTCATTAAAATATTGTTTACTTTTATTAAAAATACTTTTCCAAAACAATTCCCCAATTAGAATGAATTTATAAAATTATTAAGTTAATTTGTAAATTAATGACTGTCACACTTCTTGTAAGGGGTGATATAGTGATTTTAATGTATAGTAATATCAGGCTTATGCTGAACTTTTCATTTCTGCCCTTTGATATAGTTTACTGAGATGAATATGTATTTTCTTTAAATTAAAGAGTAGTCACAGGATTTTAGAATGCTCAAATTATCTTGAAATTATTTAAGCACACACTCTCCTTTTATACATTAATAGTTGAATATATTAATCTTTGTGTCAATTTTTACATTTGGTGTCTATTGATTTTGAAAATACAGCACTACTTGCACAGTTTGATAAAATGTTAGACCAAAAGTACTATTTAGGTCCAAATTATTAATGCCAGTTAAAATATTTGTTTGGCTTTCATTTTATTTAGGGCAGAGTTCAATTTTCTTTGCATTGACCAACATTAAAATGTGGTAATTTTTTATGTTCACATGATTATATGGTATAACACAGTATACTGGGGTTAATAAAGAAAAAATGGATAGAGAATTTGCTTTCTAAATAATATGGTTTAAAAATCCTTCTTGAATTGTTCAATAGAAAAAGAAAAAATGTTTCATAACACTGCACATTCTATAAGTTTTATCAACTTTTTTGAAACTTAAGAATTTCAAATTTGCCTATGACTGGCAGATTTTTTTTAATCAAATCAACAAATTCTTCAAAGAATGACAATTAGAAATATTTTTTCATTTGCTCCTATATTTAATAAATGTTATGCAATTTATAAGATAAAAAATCAAAAGCTATTAAGACTTGCCTAGTGTTCAATTTAAAAACAGACCACAAGTCAAGCTGGTTAAATGAAAAGGTGCTTAGCTATGACCATACTCTTATCTGATACTCTCATGTATATTTAGGCATGTATATCTAGCAATACGTTAAATCATATTCAGATATTTCCTTTGAAGGCATCCTTATTTATTTTCTAAATTTATATAAAATAAACTTTTTATTCATATAATACAAGGTTTTAAAAAATATATCTCTATATATAATTGCATATTTTGAACAACAGTGCTAATATACCATCCATGCTGCCCTGCTTTTTTTTTATTTAATATACTTGATAGCTAAACAGTATTTATTGTCATATATGAATTTATTTTGTATTACTTAAAAAATCTCCTAGTGTTGGATATTTACTCCTTTTTTTTTCAAGTTTTCCTTATATAGTGTTAGAACATTTCATGTACCTCTTAGCAAAATCTAGTTTTTCCCGTAGTAGTTTTTTTTTTTTTTTTTTTTTTAGAAAAGAAACTATTTGTAATGAGGTGCTATATTTAATGTTAGGACTTTTGATATGCTTTGCCAATTTCCCACTGTAAATTCACACTCTTTTCTTCTTTTCCCATATATAAAATAATTTTAACTATCTGAATTCT